TGGACTAGTGCTTTAATGATCAGAAGAATGTTCCTTAGATCACAGTAATGAGGCAGTGGACAAACCCTCAAAGAATGTGGTAAATCAGAAGAATAAAATTTAGGCTACCAGGGAAGCCATGTTGCCTCACTTGAAGATTGTCCAACTAGGACTAAAATTTTGGTGTTCTTGGGTTTTTGTTTAACTTATCTTATATCCCCCTTTTCCTAGGGCTAGTCTGTTTTGGTCTTGTCTTCAAATGCGTGCAGACTCCAATTTGGGAATAGTACACTGAAGGCAACCTTCTTCTGACCCTTGGGAGTGTTCCTTCATCAAGTGCACTCAAAATGAATACAGAGAATCATGGGAGATCCTAGTTCTCTAAGAACTGTCAGTTAGATTGGGTAGCTGCACATAACTAACATACCTTAGAGTGTATGGCCTTCTCTTATTGGTGTGTAGCACATTCTGCCTTGACCTTAAAGGGCAGCAATTTTATATGATTCCTTTTTGCATCTCTAGTGAATCTGTGGCCAGTAATGTTTATTGAGTTCATGCATTGGTTGGGATACTTGTGGTAGGTTCTGTATAAGAATTTACTGCTAGCACCTTTATTTGAACCTAACAATCACATACGGAAAATATATATGAACTTTTACCAGCATATGTAGTCCCTAGACCAGTGATTCTCAACCCTTGCTACTCATGAGAATAACCTGAGGAACTTTCCCCAAACCCTGATTTCTATGTTCTAACCATAGACATTATTTTAATAAATCTGGGGTGGAAACCAGGAATATATATTTTTCAGAAGCTACCCAGTAATTCTGATATGCAACCAGAGTAGAGAACCACAGCCCTTTGAGTACCTGTGGAAATCTAGTAGTCAAAATAGAGAATATGAGCAAATGTAGAAAGAAGAACAAACAAAACCAAAGTTAGTAGAAGGAAAGAAATGAAAGAGATCAGAGAAAAAATAAATGAAATGAAGACTAAAAAGGAATAGAAAATATTAATAAAACTAAAAGCTGGTCATTTGGAAGATAAACAAAATTGATAAACCTTTAGCTAGACTTATCAAGAAACAAAGGGAGAAGGCCCAAATCAGTAAAATCGGAAATGAAAATGGATAATGCCATGTGCAGCAACATGGATGGACCTAGAGATTATCATACTAAGTGAAGTAAGTCAGAAAAACGAATACCATATGATATCACTTACACGTGGAATCTAAAATATGACACAAATGAACCTATCTACAAAATAGAAAGAGACTTACAGATATAGAGAACAGACTTGTGGTTGCCAAGGGGAAGAGGGGTTGGGGAGGGATGGATTGGGAGCTTGGGATTAGTAGATGCAAACTATTATGTGTAGAATGGATAAACAACAAGGTTTGACTGTATAGCATAGGGAACTATATTCAATATCCTGTGATAAACCATAATGGAAAAGAATATGAAAAAGTGTGTGTGTGTGTATAAAACTGAATCACTCTGGTGTACAGTAAAAATTACCACAACATTGTAAATCAACTATACCTCAATAAAATAAAAAAATGAATAAGAGGTTATAACCAACACCACAGAAATACAAAGCATCATAGGAGACTACTATGAGCACCAATTTATACAACAATAAAATGGACAATGTAGAAGAAATGGATACGTTCTTAGAAAGGTACAATCTCCCTGGACTGAACCAGGAAGAAATAGAAAATACGAACAGAACCATTACCAGTACTGAAATTGATTCAGTAAACTCCCAAGAAAGAAAAGTCCAGGACCAGATGGCTTCACAGGTGAATTCTACCAAACATTTAAAGAATAGGTTTTGAAACTATTCCAAAAAATTGCAGTGTAAGGAACACTTCCAAACTCATTCTATGAAGCCACCATCACCCTCATACCAAAACCAAAGATATCACAAAAGGAGAAAATTACAGGCTAATATCACTGATGAAAATAGACACAAAAATACTCAACCAAATGCTAGCAAACTGAATGCAACAGCACATTAAAATGATCATACACCATGATCAAGTGGTATTTATCCCAGGGATGCAAGTATTTTTCAGTATCCACGAGTCAATCAATGTGATACACCACATTAACAAATAGAGTAAAAGCCATGTGATCATCTCAATAGATGCAGAAAAAGCTTTTGATAAAATTCAACATCCATTTATGATAAAAATTCTCCTAAACATGGGCCTAGAGGGAACATACCTCAACATAATAAAGGCCATATATGACAAACCCACAGCTAACATCATACTCAACCGTGAAAAGCTGAAAGTATTCCCCCTAAGATCAGGAACAAGACAAGGATGCCCACTCTTGCCACTTTTAGTCAAAATAGTTTTGTAAGTCCTAGCCACAGCAATCAGAGAAGAAAAAGAAAAAAAAGGAGTCCAGATGGGAAAGGAAGAAGTAAAACTGTGCCTGTTTGCAGAGAACATGATACTATACATAGAAAATCCTAAAGATGCCACCAGAAAACTATGAGAGCTCATCAGTGAATTTGGTAAAGTTGCCTGATACAAAATTAATATACAGAAATATGTTGCATTTCTATAAACTAACAATGAACTATCAGAAAGAGAAATTAAGGAAATAACCCCATTTACCATCACATCATAAAGAATAAAATACCTAGGAATAAATCTATCTAAGGAGGCAAAAGACCTGTATTCTGAAAACTATAAGATGCTGATGAAAGAACTTGAAGACAGCACACACAGATGGAAAGATATACCGTATTCTTGGATTGGAAGAATGAATATTATTAAAATGAGCCTACTTTGCAAGTCAATCTACAGACTGAATGCAATCCCTATCAAATTACTAATGGCATTTTTCACAGAACTGGAACAAAAAATTTTAAAATTTGTATGGGAACACAAAAGACTGCAAATAGCCAAAACAATCTTAAAAAAGAAGAATGGAGCTGGAGAACTTACCCTTCCTGACTTCAGACTATACTACAAAGCTGCAGTCATCAGAACAGTATGGTACAGACACAAAAATAGACACATAGATCAATGGAATAGGGTAGAAAGCCCAGAAATAAACCCATGCACTTATGGTCAATTAATCTACAACAAAGGAGGCAAGAATATACAGTGGAGAAAAGACTGTCTCTTCAATAAGTGGTGCTGGGAAAACTGGACAGCTACATGTAAAAGAATGAAATTAGAACATTCTCTAACACCATATACAAAAATAAATTAAAAATGGATTACAAACTTAAATATAAGACTGGATACTATAAAACTCTTAGAGGAAAACACAGGCAGAACACTCTTTGACATAAATCATAGCAATATTTTTTGGGATCTGTTTCCTAGATTAATGGAAACAAAAGCAATAATAAACCAGACCTAATTAAACTAAAAGCCTTTGTACAGCAAAGGAAACTATAAACAAAATGAAAATGCAACCTACGGAATGGGAGAAATATTTGCAAATGATGTGACCGAGAAGGGATTAATTTCCAAAATATAGAAACAGCTCATACAGCTCATTATCACAAAACTCAAACAACCCAATCAAAACCTAAATAGACATTTCTATAGAGAAGACATACTGATGGCCAAGAGGCACATGAAAAGATGCTCAACATTGCTAATGATTAGAGAAATGCAAATCAGAACTACAATGAGGTATTCCCTCATAGCAGTTAGAATGGCCATCATCCAAGTCTACAAATAATAAATGCTGGAGAGGATAGGGAGAAAAGGGAACCCTCCTACACTGTTGGTGAGAATGTAAATTGGTGCGGCCACTATGGATACAGTATGGAGGTTCCTTAAAAAACTAAAAATAGAGCTACCATATGATCCAGCAACCCCACTCCTGGGCATATATCCAGAGAAAACTCTTCACTTGAACACATGCACCCCAATGTTCATAGCAGCACTATTTACAACAGCCACAACATGGAAGCAATCTAAATGTCCATGGACAGATGAGTGGATAAAGAAGATATGGTATGTATACACAATGAAATACTACTTAGCCACAAAAAAGAATGAAATAATGCCATTTCCAGCAACATGGATGGACCTAGAGATTATCATACTAAGTAAGTCAGAGAAAGACAAATATATCACTTATATGTGGAATCTAAAAAAATGATACAAACTTATTTACAAAAGAGAAATAGACTTACAGACATAGAAAACTAACAGTTACCAAAGGGGAAAGGGGGAGGGAGGGATAAATTAGGAGTTTTGGATTAACAGATATACACCATTATATATAAAATATTGAATAAACAACAAAAACCTGAACAGCACAGGTAACTATGTTCAATATCTTGTATAAAGGAAAAAAATCTGAGAAGGAATATATATGTATAACTGAATCACTTTGCTGTACACCTGAAACATTGTAAATAAACTATACTTCAACAAAAAAAGTCAAAAAAAGAGGATGTGTAGTGCCTTCTATTCTTTAGGGAGATTATGTGAAACAGTATAGCATACAGTTAAAGAGCACTAATTTTGGAGCTAGGATATTTGGTTCCAGTGTGTGTAGCCACTTTCTAGCTGTTATCCGTAGACAAACTACCCAGTCTTTCAGAGGTCAGTTTCTTTATAAAATAGGGAGTATAGGCAGTATAGGGTTACTGTTAGGATTTATGTAAAGTCTTAGCACAGTACCTGTACTACAGCACACAATAAATACTGGCCAGATTTATTCTGGTGTACACACGTGCCACTGGGATTAGCCCGGATGAAAAAGCCTACTAAAGTTCACTTTCTCCAGGCAGCTCTTTAGGAAACCGCCGGGAGATGGAAAGGCTTCCTGGTCCCCAAGCTTGCCAAGTGAAAGATGCAAAAGCCATCTAAAAAGGGAGGGGACTATTTATTCTTGGCAAGCACTTGCGCAACGACGGGCTCCAGTTGCTGCGTTCCGCGTGTCCACAAGGGGCCGCTCGAACTACCCAGGCTCTGTGCGCAAATCAGGCGACGCCCCGCGCGTGCTCACTCGGTGCCGCGCGGGCCTCTGAACCACCGCGGACACTCTAGCTTTCGGCTGCTGCTGCTCCCCTGGCGGCTCCCCTTAACCAAACCTCTTGCGGGTGGGTACGGCAGCTCTTTGGGGACAAAAGTCTTCCCTCTTCGTTGCGCTCTGCTTCGTACTTCGTATTTTGGGCAAATCTGAGAAGGCAGGTATTAGCGCCTCCATTGAGCTGCCACCAGAGAGGTAGGAGAAAGGCTGAGCCTGGCGCGGAGTGCGGGCTGACTGGGGCCTAGGCCCGCGAAACGCCGTCGCTGCCCGGATGTTGCGATGGCTGATCGGGGGAGGCCGAGAACCTCAGGGACTGGCCGAGGTAAACCCCGGGGTGGACCCTGCCTGCCACTGCAGAGGCTTTGCTTGCCGTAGCTGCGGCTTGTGTGAGCCGGCCTCCTGACGGGATGAGGAAGACCCGGCGGAGGCGGGGCCTGCGGGTTGCGAGGGCGGGATCGGCGGGGTCGGATTTCGGGGGCTCTTTCCCTGAGAGGTAAATCCATGTTCCACTAGGTGTGGAAACTGAAACTGACGTAGTTCAGCAACAGGCTCAAGGACCCTTAACTGGTCTCCCCACGTAAACCAGTCTCATTTCAACAGAAAAAGTATCCGGTTTGGTAGAGTCTCAGAAACGGTGACTGCAGATTTACACTTCTGGTTTGTTTGATATGGTGTCGCTTCCCAACATCAACTGATGCTTGCTCATGGAATATGAAATTAATTTATTTATATAAAACCAAAAAAGATATAATTATTTTAAAAAATAATTTGCTTAAAAGTAAAAAAAATTATGTTCTAGCTGCTATTTTGGGTTCCATAGTCACACTTTCTTCATGGGCCTGAATAACTGACCAGACTAATGAGATTTATATTTGAAATGTTGCGAATAAAATAATTTTGGAACCTGAAAAGTGTCGAGGTCTAGAATTTATTTCATATGCCACTGAAGAATAGAATTTGTTTTGAATTCCCTTTTATTTTTAATAGAAAATAGTTGTTTTGATTGTTAAAAAAAAAACTTGGGTGGTTGTAAGCAACGTTATTTCTCTGTTTTAACTTCCTCATATTTTTGCAGTTGAGGCTTATTGTCTAATTTTTAAGAAGTATTTCTTATTTAAAATTAGGCTTATTTCAGATAGGCTTGAATTCTAAAGATTATGAAATAATTGTGGAAAAGTGATTAGTCCATTTGTGATATATATGACAATTATGTATTAACCCGATTATTTGATAAGTTGTAGAATTTGATTAACTAATTCTGCCGTGCTTGGCAAGCTTTCATTTGGGGGAAGTGGTATACAGTTTTCAGATTTCTTGCCTTTTCTCATCAGAACCACTGCTAGAAGGGAGATGGGATAAATAAAAAATTACTGCTTTGAAGGTGAATTAAAAAAAAATTCATGCGTGTTAAGTTGTACATTTCTTCATGTAAAAGTACTTCAGTTTTAGAACTGCTGTGAATCTGTACATTATCAGAACCAAAGATTTTCCCCTAATTTTGCAAGAACTTTGTATCCAGGCTTCTAGTTTAAGCAGTGTTTGTCTGCTGGGATGATTTTGCCCCTTAGAGGACATTTGGCAATGTCCAGAGATATTTTTGATTGTCACGATTTGGGGGTGGGGGGAGAGGTTGGATTTCTATTGGCATCTAGTGTGTAGAAGCCAGGGATGATGTTGAGCATCCTTCAATGCACAGGAAAGCCCTCAACAAAAGAATTACCTAGTCCAAAATGTCAGTAGTGTCAAGTTTGAGAAACTGCAGTTCAGAGGTTAAGAACACAGGTTTTTATCATGAAATAGTACTGGGTTTGACTATAGAAATGGGGTTGATAAGATCTACCTTACAGAATTATTGGGTGAGTTATAAGCCATATGTACTTTACACAGTGTGTGGCATATGGACTGCCACCCATATGTTTGCAAATAGGGATGAAGGTGTGTAGGTTTAGGACTGAGCTTAATACTCTGTAAATGTTACCAGTTATCTTTATCAGTGCTATTGTCTGAAGTTGAATTTATTGAATTCATTGACTGAATTATTTCATTTCTTCCTTTATTTATTCAGTAAACATGTGTTGAGTGCCTGTTATGGGGTAGGCACTGTTTTAGTCTGTATTTTACCCCTTTGACCTTCAGTTTTGTTTCTGCCAAGTTTTAATTGGCAAACACCCATCCTAAAATATTGTGTTGGTTTGGCCCGTTGATTTTTTTTTTTTTTTTTTTTTTTTGGTGGTACGCGGGCCTCTCACTGTTGTGGCCTCTCCTGTCGCAGAACACAGGCTCTGGACGCGCAGGCTCAGCAGCCATGGCTCACGGGCCCAGCTGCTCCGCAGCATGTGGGGTCCTCCCAGACCGGGGCACGAACCCGTGTCCCCTGCATCGGCAGGCGGACTCTCAACCACTGCACCACCAGGGAAGCCCCTGGCCCATTGATTTTTTTAGGTCAGGTTTATTGAGGTGTAATTTCCATGAAACAAAATACACCCTTTAAAAATTTATTTTGAGTTCAAAATTTAAAATTTATGATGTGGATTTGTGGTAAGAGAAATGTTTTATGTTAAATTGGCAGTTACTTGATATTAGGGGAAATAATATATAGTATTAGAACATAATATCTTACAGTTTTTTAAACCTTGTGTTCTTAGATGCATACCATGTGTTTTATTCGAATGTGGTCTTTTATCATAAATCATTTTATCTTTTTTCTCTCTTTTTTTTCTCCCCATTACAAGCAATCTCCTTTACAGACAATAGGTGAAGAACAGACCCAGAACCCCTACACTGAACTGCTTGTACTGAAAGCTCATCATGATATTGTACGGTTTCTGGTACAGTTAGATGATTACAGGTAAGAAACTCTAGTTTTCCAATTGACTACTGTTTGGAAAGAGTTTTTAGGGAATTGTATGTCAAAAACAACTTCAAAATTAATCCAGCTTTTCTAAAAATTTCAAAACTGATCATTTATAACATTTAGTAGAAATTGACCTCTGCCTCTTGATGAAATATGTGTCTGAAGTCTTTTTGCCCAAAAGTCGGGATATCATTTCTGGTGATTCTATGGTTATTTTTGTTTGTTTCAGTTTTTTTTTTTTGTCTTTTTGAATATTCACAAAATATTCTCATTAGTTTAAAGGAAGTGTATGACTTTAAAATGTTGATGGGAGTTTTAACTGTATGTTAAGGTGAAGCTAAATTTGAGAACCAATATGGGAAATGTTTAAATATCAGGTACCTTCCAGGAATGTACTGTTTTTAGTGGAAGGTAAGGTAAGGATTTAATCTGAATTTTTTGTTATTTGTGAAACCCTTTAAAATGTACATTATTCTGTACTTCCTTGCTAACATGTATAATGTGTTTAATATATTTGCAAATAGAGATGAAGGTGTGTAGGTCTTAGAACTGTAGATTTAGCTTATTATTGATCTGTATATCTGTTTTATTAAGACTTTGTTCAACTATACAGTTATCCTTTGTAGCCTTAATAACAATTACACAATTAATTGTGTAACTGTATAATATTTATCTTCCTCTCTAGATGAGAGTGAGGGCCATGTTTGTTTTTTATTCACCACAGTATCTTTAGTACCTGGTACAGTGCCTTACATGTAGCAGGTTATTAATAGTTGTTAAATGGATGAATGATTCCCTCAACTATTAAGTGTACATGTTGCATGCCATCCTAACTCTCTAACTCCACTTCTCTTGTCCTTATCAGTTATTCCCCTATCATCTCTTAATTTTCTCTTTTGCCTTTGATACTGTCTTCTTTTCCTTCCATTTTTGACTCAATGGGTGACTACTACTGTGATTATTTCTAATTCTCACTATCACTGCTGATGTTTTTTAACCTTGTCTTCTCTTTGCTCTTTTTATGTTTTTGGTATTTAGTTGCTTTTCCCATGTGCAGTGCAATTCTGGCACTACCTGGAGTTAGGTTGAGTTTTAAAGGTTAAGGGCACAGTCGTGTACAACAGTCCCTTCACCTCAGTCACAGCTGCAATCTCCAGGTTTCCCAGGCCACCTGCACTTCTGACCAATTAACTACAAATTCCTACTACCCCCTCAGGTTTGATAATCCTCTAGAATGACTAACAGAATTCAGGAAAGCACTATACTTATGACTACAGTTTTATTATAAAGGATATGATCGGGATTAGCCAAATGTAGAGATGCATAGGGCAAGGTCTAGGAGGGTCCCAAATGTAAGGCTTCTGTGTCCTCAGGACACATCACCCTTTCAGCACATCAATGCATATCACCAGTGAGGAAGCTCACTCAAGCTCTGGGTGTCAAGAGTTTTTATTGGGGTTTCATTACATGGGAATGATTGTTTCACTTATTTGCCTCATGATTGAACTCAATTTCCAGCTCTTCTCTCCCTTCCATCCCCTCCTTGCTCCCCCAGGTTGGGAGGTCAGGATGATACCCCATGGCTCAAAGCCCCAACCCTCTAATTGCATGGTTCATATTCCCCACATGGCCAGTCCCCATCCTTAAATTGTCTAGGGGTCCACCCTGAGTCATCTCATTAGCATAAACTCAGGTGAGCTCTGAGGGGCCCAGCTCTCTTTTAGAAATCAGGGACAAGTCCAGCCAAATTATTATGAAAATATGCTCCTCAACTTTTGCTTGAAAGGATTTGCCTTTTTTGGTATTACTAGCCTATTAACACAATTTTCATGTTGTGATGTGAGCCAACCAAATTATAGCATGTCAGCCATAGTATAATAATCTTCAGCCTTTTTGGTAATACTTACTGTTGCTATGTCCTAAGAGACATTTACTTATTTATTTAGTCAGTCATATTTGAAACTAAACATTTTTGGAAAGATAGGACATTTGGACAACTAAAGTTTTCTTGTACCGTCTTTTACCATTGTAAGATGCTACGTAAGTTAAAAAAAAAAACCAAAATGATTTCTTAGACCATAATCCCTAATATTTGGGCTTTAAGGAGTCCTCAAATAGTTTTGTCTAAGAAAGCTAAATACAAAATATACAGTATACTTTCAGGATGTGGTCTTTAAATTTTTTTTTAATAGATTAACTGTAAAGATTCCATGTTGATTGCTATCTGTCCTTTAAAATGTCTTCTTGATTATTCTTACTACATAGTTAGAAGAATCTGCAGAAAAGGCCATCTTGTAGAGTAATGATCATTGTACAGGTACTGATATTTGATTACCTTTTCCCAAAGTAATGCTTGTGTGTACTGCAGTTATTCAATGATACGGTAAATGTTACGTAAACAGTAAAAAGCTGTAGGTGAGTATATCAGTAATCTGTTGTCCTTGTCAAATATCAGCCCAAATTTAGTAGTTTAAAACAAACACTATTTATTTATTTCACTATTCTGTGGGATGGCATTTGGGTTAGGCTCAGCTGGGTGGGTTCTTTTGTCTCTACTGGGATCAGCGGATCTTGGTTAGGTTCACTTATGCTTTTGTGGTCACCAGGTAGATGGGGTTGGCAGGTTTACAGTGGTCTCAGCTGGGATGACTGGGGTCTCTCTCCATGTGGTTACTCAAGGGCTAGTTCCCATAGGGATGGAGTTCAAATACCAGCAAAAGGGCAAGCCCCAGTGTAAAACTCTTTTCAAGTCTATTTTCATCATGTTTGATGTTGTCTCATGGGCTAAAGCAAGTCAGGAGCTGGAGTGAATTCAGTAAGTTGATAAATAAACTCTACCTCTTGATGGGAGAAGCAACTAAATCCTACTGCAAGTGGTGGTGGAAATAGGGAGATTGGTGGCCATGTTTGCTGTATACCACAGTGAATCTAAATGTCTAGAATAGATTTTTTTTAAAAGCCTACTTTTTGGCTTTTGCTGTCAAGTGAACATATTACTACAAGTCATGACTTTGTCAAAAGTTACATACAATTAGGTATGAAGTTTTTTTACTCAGTTGCAGACCTGAAGAACTTTCAATCTGTTTTGTTTTAAAAGATTTAATTCTGTAGTGTACTAGAAAAACAAAACAAAACTGAAAGAGTCATTATTGGTAAGAAATACATTTAAAAATATACAAATGATGTAACTATTATAAATAGTAGAGCTCAGTGTCTTCATTCTTGATTTAATAGTTTAGATAATTCAGATATCTTTTTACTGTTACATATGTATATTATATATGCATTGTCAAATTATAGAAATATCTTTCCAGTTTTTAAATAAATATTGTTATACTTTTTATGTTTTTATTTAGTTTTTTTAGACATCACATTCTGGGTTTTTGGTCAGCTGTTGTAATCCAGGTTTCACGCTTCAGGTCTTTAGATAATATCATTTTATTGAGAATTTTGCAGAAGGATTTTCTTGTTTTCTCAGTGGCTCAGCTAAAATCAGTGAGTGGAAAATTTTCTCAGGTTGGTTTTTGAAGATACCAAATAAATCCTGTATAACCTAACAGACAGCAGCCTTTTCTTATCTTCTTTAGTATTTTTTGAACATAAAGTGAGGGTCATATTGATTGGGAGATCACTAAAGAAGGCTAAGCCTCAGCAAGAGTCATCCAAAAAGTGGACTGTGCTAAAATTGCATGTAATACTTTAGCACTTGACACATTAAACTAAACTGGGTTCATAACACATTTTAAGAATAGTTTTCTCTGTTGCTCATTTGACCATCCCTTGCTCCTCCAGGAAACAGACAAGGTTATGTAGGATGGTGATCATGACTGGAAAAGAATCAGATGACCCATGAAATGCCAGACTGAAGAAAAAAATGTACCTTAGGTTGACTGGTGAAGCTGTACATTCACAAGAATCTAGACAAACTCAGTACAGTTTGATAATTCACTAACAGCAAACAGTATGTTACATCTTTAAGACAATGTTCTAAAGCTAAGAATATCTTTTTCACTAACACTTAGAGAATAGAAATCAGTAATCAAGATCATTTAGATCCTCCTAATACCTGGTTTCCCTGGGAAGTAGACAGTAAAATGGAATTAAGCATGCAAAATGTTTATTAGAGAGAAATACCATTGAAGGGAAAAGGGAAGAAGCAGGATTGGACAAGGGGAGCTGTCTCAAACTGTGATGCAGATTTGACAAAGTCTCTGTAAGCCCAATGTGGAGCTCTGGAGGAAAGAATGCTCTTTAGATGAGTCCTGCATTAGGGAAATAACTAGGAGTGTTTAGCCTGCAATACTTAGACATTGGCTGAGGGCCATCCAAGAACGTGCCCTGGCTTCCACCAACTTGCTTATATCCCAGGGGCTGGGGGCCAACTGAGATAGTTTGACTTCAACTTGAAAGCTGAAATGGACCCTGAAGCCAACAGCTGGAGGCAGATAACCATATTCCTCATAGCTGGGCAGCAAGTCCTCTCTTGTAGGGGTATCTGCAAGTCAAGATCTATACTGCCTTTCTATACAAACTCTATCTTGAGATCAGTAATGTTGGATGAGAGGACATTTTCTTTATAGAAGAATTCAAGTTAGGAAGAATCATGGAATTGGAATATTATAATTTCGCAACCTCTAATATAATAACAAATTTAGGCAATGGTTATTGATAGCTGTTAACATCACACACACACAAAAAGATTGCTGGAAATTGTATTTCCTGTGGGGGTACATAAACTGCTTATGAAGTGGTCTTACCAAAAAGTCAAATTCAAATATGATTAAGTCTTTAGATCTCTCAATTTACTAGAAACACAGGGGACAGAGGTGCATATCAAATGACAACACAAGAAGGTAGCTAGCAAAATCCAGACTGTGAGAACTCTGTAAGACAAATGTTTAATTGCAAGGAAAAACATACATGAAGAAAGAATCAATAGAACAAGAGAGACTTTAGAGATCAGTTGCAGTGTATGAACCTTATTTAGATCCTGC